ACTTAAAATCTTTAAAATGAACATGCATTAGAAAAGAAAATGAAGAGAAGGTTGTGTTGGTGGCTTACCTTCTAGCTTTGCACAAGAAACTCTCTTCTTCTTCCCTCTCCTCCTCTAGACTCCTTTTCCTTGCTCTCCTCCACTCTCTAACCAAAATGTGTGTGTGAGTGAGTGTGTTGTGTGTATGTTTGCAAGCTAGGGGAGGTGTGGTATATATAGGCAAATTTGGGGTAAAAGGACATAAAAGCCCTTTAGTTGGAATTGGATGGAGGGTTAGGATTTTGCTTGAATTCTAAAGGAATGGAAGGGACTTATGTGGTGTGTTCCATTGGTTTAGGCCACCTCTAGTTGTAATAAAACTATTTCTTGGATTTTGTATCCTAGGTAGGTCACTAGGTTGTTCTTCTCTAGAATCTCATAATCATGGTCTTAGAAAATTGGCTTCTTTCTCCCTTCCCTAGGAGGGCTAGCCTTGGGGAAGTGTGAAGGGACTAATTTTTTTTAATTATTTTATGTTCTAGGCACATCCCTCAAGGTGCATACACACACACACATATATATATATATATATATATATATATATATATAGTAAGATTGATGCATATCAAGGTACAAAATATAAGTACTATCTTGGGCAAGTTTAGAAATAATAAAATAAAAAAATATATATATATATATAAGGGCTTGAAGTTAACTACATGTAACCTAGGTAGAATTAAATTAGGTTAGGGAATTTTGTTTTGATAAAATAAAAATAAAAGAAATAGAAATTTGTTAATCGACAAGATTCGAATTAATTCAAGTAACGAGGGCTTTAGAAAATAATTCATCATTAGAGTCTTAAAAGTAAATACATATTTTAGGGGCCTTACACAAATATCTTTTAATTATTTTCATAATATTTACCGTTGTTATTATTTTAGTCTTGTCATCAATGGTATGTTTTATATATTAAAAACAAAAATGTGTTATGATATAAATAGTAAAAACATAAATAAATTATGTCATGAAATTTTATAATTGTAGTTTATCTTATGTTCATTTGATAATATTACAAATCAAAAGTATCAATTAACTTTACTTTTTTATCTTCTTTGAAGCTCAATAAAAAATGGTTAACATTAAAATTAATTTACAAAATAAAATAGCAAACAGACCAATGGGAATAGTCCCTTTCTCAATTACTCCTCAAATTAATTTTTACCTTGTTAAGCATAACTACAATATATCCCCTCAAATAGATCAATTAAAAGTCAACTATTAAAAATCCAAATTCGAATTCAAGCTCGAGCTAGACCGGTCTTGCCCACCCTTTTAAAATTAATATACATATATATATTTAGTTTTCATATTATAAAAACTAATTATACCAATGCCTCTTTAATTATTTACGAAATACAACTTATCTCATAAAATAACTTTTCTTAGTGTGGACTCACTAAAACGATTCTCATTGTTTGAATTATATGTCATTTTTAAAATTAATCTATTAAATAAATAAATAAAACATATTTGCATATAAAATAATGTTAAATGAATTGCCCCACAAATTTAAATTTTTTGGCTTTTTAATTGAACCATTTAGTGTTTAAAGTCTAACCTATTGATAAAAACTATAGTCTAGGCTTGATTTTTTTTTACCAAATTATTTAGACTGTATAAGTTATTCAATTATAAAATACATTAGAAGATGGAATATGATTTACTTAAGAGTAGTTTTCACACTTCATTTGCAGATTTTTAAAAGGAGTTAATATTTTTGACCATATTTTGATATCAAATTTTGATACCATGTATTGTACCACCTCACATCATTTGATGGGCATCACATGACACATATAATTGCCTTTATGGCGTGACGTCATACACTAAATTGTCAAATTTCAAATGACATATGGCTTAATTATGAACACAATTTTGTTTTGGACTAGCCATTTAAAAGATTTAAAATTAGATTTACAGTTTGATGTGAGTTTATGCCAAATATATTTCTTAAATTTAAAAATTAAAAAAAAAAGCCTTTGTAAGAATTTTTATAAAAAAAAAATAGAACTCTGCATAATAAAATTTAAAAATTAACATTGATAAGTCATGATTAATATGTATTGTATAGATTCATGTTTAATATTATACCATGGAAGACAAACCAGTGGTAGCAAATCAATGGCCCTAAGGTGGCAGGGAGGCGGGGTGATGGCGATCAAAGCGCAGTAATGCAGGGCAGTCCACTAGCAGCCGTTGACCAAATGCATCAAGTAACACTTACTTAAAGCCCCACAGCTCTGCAAGCCTAGCCGGCTCGGTGCAGGAATGGT